TGCTGCCAGTGCTGGGGCAAGATGGTATCTCACCGTTGTTTGGATTTGCATCTCTCCAATGGCTAATGATCGTGAGCATTTCTTCATATGTTTGTTGGCCGCCTGAATATCCTCCTTAGTGAAGTGTCTATTCATGTCTTCTCCCCATTTTTTAACTGGATTATTTGTCTTTTTGCTATCGAGGTGTCAGAATTTTCTATGAATTCTAGAGGTAAGTTCCTTGTCAGATATGTCATTGCTCAGTATGTTTTCCCAATCTGTCGGTTCTCTTATGACTCTTTTGAAGAAGTCTTTGGAAGCACATAAAAAATTAATTTTTAGAAAGTCCCATTCATCTAGTTTCTCTTGTGCTGTTTGTGCATTTTGGGTTATGCTTGACAGTCTATTTATGCCATATATTAGGGCCCCTAAATTTGTCCCTAGTTTTCCTTGAGGAACTCTATAGTTTTAGGTTTCACATTTAAGTCTTTGATCCTTCTGGAGGTAGTTTTTGTGTATGGTGTAAGGTACAGACCTTGTTTCATTTTTGTGCAACTGGATATCCAGTTTTGCCAGCACCATTTATTAAACAAACATTCTCTTCCCCATTTAATGGCTTTCGGTCCTTTGTCAAAGATCAGCTGACCATAGGTTGATGGATCTATTTCTGGGTTCTCAATTCTATTCCATTGGTCTATGCGTCTTCTTTTTTGATGTGTGCATTTATTGCTATAAATTGGCCTCTGATCACTGCTTTTGCTGTGTCCCAAAGATTTTGGCATGTTGTGTTCTCATTCTCATTTGATTCAAGAAATTTTTCAATTTCACTCTTTATTTCTTTTCTTACCCAGTCTTTCACAAGGAGGATATTGTTCAGTTTCCATGTGTTTACTCTTTTTCCATTGATCTTCCTATTGTTGATTTCTAATTTGATAGCATTGTGATATGAGAAGATGTTTTGCAGTATTTCAATGTTTTTAAATTTATTAAGAATGGCTTAACATATGGTCTATATGGAAAATGTTCCATGTGCACTGGAAAAGAATGTATATTGTGCTGTTGTTGGGTGAAGTGCTCTGTAGATGTCTATAAGGTCAACTTGATGGATTGCATTCTTTAGCTCTTCTCCATTTTTGTTGAGTTTTCTTCCAGTTGTTCTATCTTTCGTTGAAAGTTGTGTATTAAAGTCTCCTACTGTGACTGTGCAGTCATCTATTTGCCTTTTCAACTCTTTTAAAGTCTGATTTATGTATTTTGAGGCTCTTTCATTGGATCCATAGATATTTATTATGGTTATATCTTCTTGTTCAATTGATCTTTTAATCATTATGTAATGTTCTTCTTTGTCTTATGTGGTGGTTTTTGTCTTAAAGTCAATTTGAAGAGAAATTAATATTGCAACTCCTGCTCTTTTACGGTTACCATTTGCTTGATATATCTTTTTCCAACCTTTGATTTTTAGTCTATTTTTGTCTTTGTCTCTAAGGTGTGTCTCTTGTAGGCAGTAAATTGATGGGTTTTGTTTTCTTATCCAATTTGTAACTTTCTGTCTCTTGAGTCCACTGACATTCAGTGTAATTATTGACAAGTATGAACTGGCTGCTGTCATTTTGTCATGTGTTTCCCTGGTTTCTTTGTTCCATATTATTTTATGTGCTGAGCTCATTATGTTTATGAATCATGTTATCATGTTCTTTGTTGCTTCTGTTTAGTATTTGCTGAATATTTGTGCTTGTCCTCTTCTTTATTGTGATGTGATGGTTTATCATTTTTCTTTGGGGTTACCCTGTGATTTATACTTTTCTCCTTGAGTTTGGAATAGTCCATTCTATCTTGCAACTCTCTTGACTGCCTTACCATTTAGAAGTTCTGTAACTACATACTATTTCCCCTCTTTTTGGTTAGTAGTTGTCCTCATTTGCCAATTGAATTCTCTGGTTCCCTGTTCAGAATCTTGTAAGCTTATTTTACTTTGGATATGTCCATAGCTGTGGTTTCTGGGTTATGTCATCTTCTGTATTAATGGTCAGTTGCTGCTTGCTACTTTGGGTTCTCTGTTCAAAGAACTCCCTTTAGTATGTCTTGTAAGGTTGGTCTGGTTTTAACAAATTCCCTTAGTTTCTGCTTATCTGGAAATCTCCTAATTACACCGTCATATCTGAGAAACAATTCTGCTGGGTATATAATTCTTGGTTGAAAATTTTTCTCTTTCAGGGTTTTAATATATACCATCCCGTTGTCTTCTCACTTGTATGATTTCTGCTGAGAAATCAGAGCTTATTCTTACTGGTTGTCCTTTGTAAGTCACTTTTTGTTTTTCCTGTGCTGCTTTCAGGATTGTGTCTTTGTCTTTGATTTTGATGAGTTTGATGATGATATGTCTTGGTGATTTTCTTTTGGGTCTATCCTGTTTGGGATTCATTGGACTTCCTGAATGGATATATTCTTGTCTTTCATCACATCAGGGAAGTTCTCTTCCAACAAATCTTGGTTAATTTTCTCAGTGGTTTTATTTTTCTCTTCCTGTTCTGGAATTCTAATGACATGCAGGTTATCCTTTTGATGGTATCCTACATGAACCTTAGGCTTTCTTAATTTTGTTTTGATCTTTTTTCTGATTGATCCCTTTTCAAATAAGTATTCAGGTATTTGTCTTCAATCTCATTAATTCTGTCTTCCATTGCATCAATTCTGCTCTTTTGCCCTTTCAATGTGTTATCTATTTCTGACAATTTAGTATTAATCTTTTGGGTTTCTATCTGTAGATTTTGAATCATTTCTAATTTTTCATTTATTTTGTCATTTTGTTCCTATGTTTTCTTCCAAAATTCTTCTAGGGATTTGTCTGTGTTTTTCTTGATCTGTCTCTCAATCCTTTGAAGAAACCTAAATATAATTCTTTTGAATTCCTTATCAGGGAGTTCCAATTGTGCTTCTTCCTCAGGGATGTGTTCTGGGTCTATATCCTACTCCCTTGTTTCTACCACTTTATCTTGCTTCTTTGTGTGGACTGTGATGGTATGCTGTCTCCGAGACATTGTGATGTTGTTGTACTTAGATCTCTGTTAACTGATTGTGAAGAGCAGCTAAGGGTGAGTTAGGCTCTTCTTGGTGGTTGTTTATCATAGGCTCATTGGTGGAGGTGGTGACTCTCATTCAGTAAGTGAAGCTGCAGGAGGCGTGGGTGTAGTTATGTCGTATGGGGACTGTTGCTTTGTCTCACTCAGTTAGACGAAACTAACAATTGAAGAACCATCAAAAAAGTAAAAGCAAATGGACAAAAAACACACCGTGTAATCACATAGGAACAGAAACCAAAAAAAAGAAAAAGGAAAAAGACAAAAACAAAACAACATAAAACACCGCAATATCTGGGGAGATGGCAGTAAGAGAAAAACGGTAGATAAGGAGAATAATCAAGGAAAAAAATTGGAAAAACGCATAAAGAAAAGTAAGGAACGAGGTTAACCACAAGAAAGAAAAAAAAATTGGAAGCAGGAACAGTGAAAAGAAAAAAAGCTGAAACTAGTACCTGGGAAGGGAAGAACAAAGTATGATAATTAAAAGGACAAAAGTAATAATAGTAGTAGTTTTAAAATAGACAAAAACAAACAAAACAAACAAACAAAAAAAATCAGGCCAGGGTGGGGCAGGGCACCCAGCCGGGCTCGGTCCGAGCACACAGACTGGGATGGAATTCCTGCCGGCCTAGAAGGTGGGTGGAAGTGAGGGATGGTCCTACCTCCATTCACCAAAAGGGTGTGATATATAAGAGTAACATGGGGAATGTTGCACCTTTCCAGTAGTCCATGTCTGGAATGTCCTTGTAGTTCTGAGCAAGTGAAGCCTGTTCTTAAGTCCCTGGAATCTGGGAGAACGCTGTTGCTTTAATATCCAAAATGATCAAGCCGCTTGTAAATATTCAAAATGGCTATACCCTCTGGACAGGCAAAAGTCCACAGCTCAGCCCGCCTTCCTCTTCGCTGCTCCCCTCTTTTATTCTCCAGCCACTAGAGCAGTCCTCTGTGCAGTCCCTGGCTAACAGGACTGATTTTTAGGTTAATTCTTAGGTCCTACCACCACTCGGCAATATCCAAGCTGTCTGTGCTGTCAGGATTGCTGCCAGACCGCAGCTCCGTATGTCTCCTTTTTTGGTGTTTTCATGGAAATTCTTCTGCTAGTTGGAGTTTAATCCACTTCTATATCCTTCCCTTTAAAGCTCAGGGGTCCAGAATTACCTTCTGTATCTGTGTTAATTGGTTTCCCTTTTCTTTGTTGAAGAGGGTCTGTGCAGTCTCTCTGCCTATTCTGCCATCTTACCAGAACTCTGAAACTTTATTTTTAAAAATAAACTATGCCTACTTTGGATTTCTTTCATATTTGATAATCAAGGATCACTAAGCTCCTATTACACATCAGTGTATAAGTTGTGCGTGTATAGTTACTACTTCAAGGTCTCATGTTGCAACTGAACAGCCAGCTCAACCATCCTGCATGGCTTGGAAAAGCTACATCAGGCAAAGGACATGCAGCAGGAAGGTGTGAAAATACCTCCATGTGCCTGTTTTAGCTAAAGAAGCTCTAAAAGGAAGAGCATGACTTCCTTCTTTTAGATGAAGAGAAAGGAACTGATGAATTATAAAGCAAAACAAGCAAGGCAGAGCTGTTCCTGATTACCATGCTTGTGATTTGTCTTCTGAACCTTAGTTTCATATTCAACAACCTGGTTTTACCAAAGACTTAGAAAGGGACAGAGTTAAGAAGCCAGCAGTCAACATTTAGTATTTAAAGGTTCAAAATTTTCATGAGGAAGCCATGTAATCTTCAGTGAATTACAAGGGCTAGTTAAGTGCTAATTAAAATTTGATATTACAGGTAATTCCTGACATGTAATGTAGGGTTTTTCACAGAACAGCTACAGATACTCTTAGTAACCTTACTTCTCTACTCAGTAGAAACTGTCAACAAAGAGAGCATATCACCTTGTTAAAATTTATATTAAGAAAATCTTAAAAACTTACCACTTACTTTTACACTGCATCCAATTTCTTGTTTCTACTTTAGCTTCTACTTCTATCCAAGATATGCCCTTGTAGAGCTTTTCCCGAACAATTGACAGGCGGCCTTCAGGATTTTCCTGGAGCCTAGAGTCCATCTCCTTTAACTCCTGGGCAGACATCTTCTTTAGAATCACTTGTTCAACGGCCTTGACTAGTTTCTGGGTTTCCGTCTTACTCCAAGTACCATGATTTACTTCTATCGACATAAAAGGACAGTGTCAGAGTTGCTAATCCATTTGCTTTAAAATACAGTATTAAAAACTAAATGAAAACTTAGGCACTTTTCAGAAAACAATGGGTGGACATATCAATTACACAAATATAAAATTACCAAATATAATCACATGCAAATTAAAATGAAATTACTGAAGTGGCAATGGGTTCTTTTTAGATCAAAAGCTAGAAATTACTAAATAATAAATCCTTTCTTAAAGGAATATTTTGTTTTGTTTTTAAATTCACCAAAGAATTGTCCTTCTGGTTTCCGAGAACAATGTCTTCTCTATGAAATTGTAGAATACTTCCAGGGGAAAAAAAGAAAATAACAAAATGACTTTTATGTTATGTATATGAGTCCTCCCCAACAAGAGTTACTAGTATAAAATTAATGACCACCAATGACAATAAAGTAACATAATACTTGATGATAAATATATCAGAAGAACTTCTGAAGCCAAGAACTTCTGAAGTCAATTACCTATGTAGGGTGCCAAAAGCATTTATGTACCTCTCTTGATTAGAGACACTCACAGCCATGCTAAGGAAGGGGTCCTAAACTGGCAGCCTGCAAATATCTTTGGTGTGATACACAATTTCCATCCTAACAACAACATTTAAAAATTGAGATTTTTTTAAAAAAAATTTTATTGTGATTTTGGTGAAAGTTTACAGAGCAAATTCATTTTCCACACAGGAGTACACATATACTTTTGTCTCATTACATTGACTGCAATTTCCCACAATGCAACAGCTCTCTTCCCACTTCTTCCCCATAGTTACCTCTTCCCCATGTCCTTCCCTCCCATGCACTCCTGCCCTCCAAGCTGTCTCCTTGTGCATACACAACCTTTCTATTCTCCCACGACTACTCTAAAAATTGAGATTTTTTTTTAAAAAAAGGAAAGAAACATAAATTTCACAAAATAAAAAAATCCTTAATTTTGCTTTATCTCCTAGAAATACAGAACTGCCCACATTGAATCTTCACATGGCACAAGGGCTGGAGTCAAATGGCACAAGACGTATGGTCTCTAGCTCATCACAGGGCCTACTACATGCTACCATGTGGATACACTATTGCTCAGTGCACTGCCCTGGAGTATAGGAGCCCCTACACTAAACAGTAACAATCACTAAGGACTGTGGTCTTAGAAATTCGAGATTTTTTTAATGTAAAGAATATAACGAAGAAATTTTTTGTACGAAGAAGAAAAAAAGACAAGAGATCTTCAGCACTGGTGTTAAGAAAAGTCCTTGCCTTAACAGTCCAACTGTATCCTTCCCTCTTTCCATCACTCTGTCTCCCTTGCAACCTTAGGGAAGTGATCTACACTGCCAGTGGAGGTGGTATGGCTCCACTGGGTAGTTACATTTGTGGCGAGTTACTAAACTTCTACCTACAAGTGTGGTTAAAAATCAGTCTTATAAATAAAGGCTGAATGATTTCATTGAATAAATATAAGGAAATGAAATCAATCAGTATAAAGTAAGTCTTTAAAAAATGCTAACTCTGCTAGAAGACAAGCCTGAAATAATTTCTGGGCATTGCATCAGCTTGTGGGCTAGACCAGGCCTTTGGGGGCTGAACTTATTCCCCTAGGTCAATACAGATGGCCACTTACGACTGCTGATCTGGGAGTACTTTAGGGCCACAGAGAGGCTACTCCGGGCCACCAGCTCACCAATCTTTTTCCAATCATTTCCATGGAGGGAATGGTATAGCTTTAACTTCTCAGTATCTGCTTCACTATACCTAAGAGAAAGGGAAAATATTACAACTGTAAATAAACTACAAGATTAAAAACTATATTCTCATTGTAGTACAGTAGACAAGCTGAGCGGGGATGGCCACCAGGAAACCTGGTCCCAGCCATTACTTCTGATGACTTCAATTCTGCTCACTTCATGTTCCTTTGTCTTAACTGTGTTCAACCTATAAATTAATAACCACAGTCCTAGCCCAGAGACCTGGCTCTGTTACACAACAACCAGAGGAAACAGATAAGATCACATCAATGCCTTACACAAACTCCTAAAGGCTTCATGTTACATATGCAATGAAACTTAACTTTTTTAAGTGCCTCCAAAGCCTGTGCTCTTCACAGTTCAGCCACATCAGCCTTCTTCTAGCTCTTTCTCAACTCTGAGCCTCAGTACCGAAAGCAGAAATAGTCTTCCCTCTATTCTGCCTGGATAACTTCTACAAACCCTGAGACTACAGCTTAAATGGCATTTCTCCAGGGGAGAAGGTTCTCCTTTTTCTTATAGAATACTACTTTTCTTTCATAGCACTGAATACAATTTGAAATTATGTATTTATAGGTTTCCTTGTTTGTCTCTTCCTCTCTGTCCAACAGAAATAGAATGCAAGCCATAAATGTAATTTTAAATTTTTCAATAGTCCTGTTAAAAAAGTAAAAAACCAGGTGAAATTAATTTGGACTAATTACATTTCAAGTGTTCATGCAATTTTCTTTGCTCTCAGTGACTACTACATTGGACAGCACAAAAGTAAAGGGTGAGTTTTGTAAGGGCAGAGACTTTGTCAGTTTTGTTCACTAACACACCTATAATGCTTGACAGGCAACAGACATTTACTAAATAGGTGATGAATGGCTTAACACAAACAGATAAAACTACTGAGGAATTTTTTAAGGTACATTAATACCACATAAAAACCACACTGAAGAACTAAAAAAGCACTATCATATTATTCACTGAATTTGAAATTAACCATCAGAAATGTTTAAGTGAAGACAATGCAATCTATATGACATTCTAAAATTTCTAAACATTAATCAGGAAGGGGGCTATCTATTACTAAGGGCAATATAAAAGAAGCTCTAGCAAAATCCTAATGGCTACAAATAACAATCCAGAACTACCTCATGAAAATAACATCCTAATGTTTTCAGAAAGTCATCTATAAATGCAGACTATGGTCAACAGAGATTCTCATCCTTGATTATTAAAATTCACGGGTTTCAAAAAGTAATGCTTCCTAGTAGTTTTCTTTTCAAAACAATCAGGGTCCTTCTGGTATAAAGAATGACTTAAACAAACCCTTGAAGTTACAGAGTAGAGGGTGTAAGAGAGAAAATGAGCATACAAAAATGGAGATATTGGTGTATACTGACTTCCAAAGTCCCCCAGAGCCTTAAAATTCTTTGATTTTTTGACTTTCTACTTTTTTTTCAGTTAAGACTTTTTTAAGTTGGAAAATATTCTAAGGGCAAATGATTACCACATCACAAATAATATGGCACAAACAAGATGAGCTTCTTTAAAATTATTAGAATGACAGACTTTCGTTATTCTAAAAATTTCATCCTACTGCAGTTTACAAAAATGTATTGAAAAGAAAATTTCACTCTACATCTATGTCATAGGTAGAGAAATACAATATGTGGGTTGCCACCATCAATTTATCAAAAGCATTCTTTCTTTCAATAATTAAAGGCATTCTTTTCAGTTGCATTTAAAATGTTATCTCTACTGTATTTTCTTCAAGCTCTGCTCACAACTGTCTGACCTTGGAGCTTGGGTAAAAAGGTTACATCAAGTTTCAGTCTCTGTGGGAACTCTTCTCTACACAAGGTTTCCTTTTTGTAAAAAGTTTAAAAACAGGAAAGAAACCAAGGTTGTATCAATGTTTGAGGTTGAAATAATGCTCTGGTTTAAAGTCATGTTGATGGGAAGAACTCAACTGACCTTGCTAGAAGACTACTGTAATTACTAAATGTGCCTCCCAAAAGAGAGATCAAGCAGTTGAGTCAGTAGCTGTTTGGGCCCTGGGAGGTGGGAGCTCATGCCTTCCTCCTTATCCCTTTGTCCTTGAGCATAGTGCTTTCCCTTTACAGAAATTTAATCTACACTGTTTTCATTTGGAATGTTGGGAACAGATTATAATTGGATATTTTATTAGGGGACAAAAGGAAGGGAAAATACAATAACCACATTGAACACTCTGATTTGACCCTACTGAAAGCACATGAAAATGATTTAATACTAGTGTTTATCTGTACTTTCAAATATTTACTGAAAACCCAAAGACTTATGCTAAGTGTTAAAAGGAACATCAAATTGAGAAGAAATGTTTGGGTTCACAAGGTAGAGAGCAGAGAAAACTTAATGAGTACCAATAAGAAAGGCAGAGTATGTTATGTGCTAAAATAAAGGCATAAAGGAAAAGCTGAGGATTTAGAAAAGAGCTTACAGGCCTTTAGTTGAAATGACCTTTAAAAACATACACGTGACAACAAGTACATCTTCTGGTTTCACACACCAAAGAGTCTTCACAATTTTTACTTCAAATTTATTACTGTGGCTATTTTAATTAAAAGTATCATCAAAGACTAAAGAAAATGTTTTGTCTCAAGCTGCTAAGACCTTTTCCTTACCTCCCTTTGTAATTATGGATATCAAACATCTTCTTTGCTCTATAGTACACCATTTTCCAAGGTCGAGCAATGCCCTTACCTAAAGTCAAAAAGAAAGGTAGTGGGATGGCACACAGTTTAAAAAGATGTAGCATTTCAAAGCATGGCATGAAATACAGTCACATTTATAAAACTAACTCAAAACTCTTGTAACACTATCCTAGACCCCACATTCAAGTTGGGATCTTATTGGAGACCAAGCAAAAGACCACCAAAAGGACATGATTGCAAGGCACATGGTCTAACAATAGCTAAGAGAAGGCAAGGCTTCTCTTATAGTTGAATGCTTGCTTGGCTCAAACTCTGTGTGCTTAGGGCAAAACATTGTTCCAGCAAAACAGGCTGGTAAACATTGTTCCAGTAAAGAATGTTGATTATCTTGATGGGCACTTCATACCTAAGAATAGTATACCTTAGTATTCATGTCATATTTTAGAATAATGTATCCTAGTAAGTATTTCATACCTTAGAATTATGTACCTTAACAATCATGTTATGTTTTAGAATAATGCATTTTAGTGATTATTTACTATTCCTGTAAGAGATATTAACTCAACTAATAGTCCATTATTCTTGGGTATGGGAAAAGACCTCTGGGTATGGGCAAAAGTAAAATTTTAACCTTTTAAATAATACTTGGATACTTGATTGCATTAAGAAAATACCAAGAACAATGATGAAATCTTGCTTATGTATAAATAAAGCAGGGGTATAAAGATGTATAAAGATGCACAGGGGTTGCTCCTACGTCATACGCAGAGTGTCCGCCTGGCCTCCATTCCTCTTAAACCTTTAATCCTTTCATGTTGCTTTGTTTCATGACCTATGTTGTTTTGCTGGACATGGCAGGATTTTAGTATGTTTTGTATAAAGTTGTCTTAGGGAGCAGAAGTACAAAATACCAGTTTCCTTGGAGAACTTTGAAATCTAAATGCTTCATAGGCCCCAGATTCTAGTCTACTGAATTCATGGAAAAAACCCTAAAGGGAAAGTAATTTTAACATAATTTGAAGTAAGTGAATACCTTATAAATAATCATTTTTAAATTTAAAAGAGATTTTTTGTCAGTCTGGTCCCATGTTACTTCATGGACTTATAACTTTCTACACCCCACCTCTGAAAGGGGGATTCCAGCTACAAGGTACATATACAGCTACATATCAAAAAAAAAAAGGAGACCAAGGTATATATAGGAATGAACTTTGTGCAGGATATCCAATAAATAAATAAAGAACAGGAAATACAAAACAAAACAGCAACAAAAAAATCAAAGCCATAATTATTATTAAGGAGAAAAGATAGAAGTTGACTGTGTCAATTTTCATATAAGTACCATGTATGGGAGATATGAATACATTCCAAATTCCCAAAAGTATAGGCTAGCAATAAGAATACTATTAACCACAGCAGCAGTTAACATGCATTGAAGGCACTAAATGGGCCAGGTATTGTGTCAGGGACTATGTTACTTACCATGAATGATCTCGTTTACTTTAAAGTTATAAGATTATAGACATAGATGGTCAGAGAATGGTCATTTCTAAACTTACTAATGTGCAATCTAAATGCGTATTTTCGTTTTAAATCAGTGATCATCGATTTCTCCTCTGGATATCTGTCAGTGTGCAGCAGCTTGTCTGCAGTCTCAATTCCTGTCATCGCCAGAAATTCTTGCACATTTTTCTCTAATTGTTTATTCTCTTTTATAGAAAACTTGCCAAATTTAATAGAAACACCTAGGATTTGGAGGGAAAGAAAGCATATTATTGTCAATAATGAATAAAAGCAAACCAGTTGACCCAGTTGATCTTTTATCAGCAATGACAACACAATGTACCATCCTCACCTTCCTGTCAGGGAGCCAGTCTTGCCCATGTGCCTATTCATTCTCCCATTCCCTACTTATGCACCCAGCCACTCTTAAAGTTCCATTCAAGCCACACCTCTTCTCCCAAAGCAGTCTCTGGTCATCCGATTCCAAAATGATAATTTTTTCTTCATAAATATTTTTTAATTTAAAAAAAAAAAAAAATTATTGTGGTAAAATATATTTGTATGCCATTTTATGCATACAAGTCAGTGGCATGTTGGGCAACCATCACCACTACCTACTTCCAAAACATTTTCTCTATCCCCAACAGAAACTTAGTACCCTTAAGCAGTAATTCCCCATTTCTCTCTCTCCATATGGCAGTTCATACACATTTTATTTCATGACATTGACTGTAATTCCCCACAATGAACAGTTTCTCTTCCCACTTCCTCCCTGTAGTTACCCCTTCCCTGTGTCCTTCTTTCCTATGCATTCCTGCCCCCTGAACTATCTTCCTTTGCAAATACTGCCCTTCTGTTCTTCCATGATTGATTGTTCTAAGGAGTGTATCTGCCTGATGTCAATGTTCACCCTATATGCCTGCCTATAGTTTGGCCGGATGCCACAGGAATGAGTTCAATTCCAGACATGAAGGGTAACTAGGTCCCATAGTGTGAGGGGTCTCCACCAGGCTCCATCAGACCGGTAAACCTGGTCTTTTTTTATGGGATATATCACATTCGTTTATCCATTCACTGATCCATGGACGGCTGATAATTGTAAATAATGCTCTAATGAATGTATTTGTTGAAGTCACTGCTTCTAATTCATTTGATTATGTACACCTAGGAATGTAAGTGCTGAGTCATATTGTAATTCTATGTTTAACTTTTTGAGAAACTGCCAAACTGTTTTCCACAGCAGCTGTACTATTTTATATTCCTACCAGCAACGCATGAGGCTTCCAATTTTCCCACATCTTTGCCAACACTTTTTTTATAAAATAGCCATGCTAGTGGGTGTGTGTTTTTTATATTAAAAAGCAATACATGTTCACTAAAAATTCAGTGTTGAAATAAAGTTTAACAGATGCCTCCCTTGGACAGGGAAACTAGACAAATGGAAATGGGAACCCAGGAAGGATACAGGGAGAGTGCTGACACACTGAGGGGATTGCAACCAACATCACAAAACAATCTACCAAGTACTGATTAGAAAACTAAGTTGTTACGTAAACTTTCACATAAAGCACAATACAATGTTTAAAAAAAAAAAAGACTTCTCTTACTCCACTCCCCCCTTTGCCTTCTTTACCAGAAGTCAGGTGAAGAGGTAAACTAATTACTTAATTTTGCTAATCATGCAGTTCTCATAAAAACTGGTAGGAGATAAAGCTGAAAGCAGCTGAAGGATGCACCTTGTCAATGGATAAATTTTAATCATTCATAAGAGAAAGTCAACTTACAGTTTCATGAAAAGTTCAACAAATACTGAAGTTCTACAAGCGTACCTTGAGCTTTAAATTCTTTAAACCGTTCAAAGTCATCCCGATACATTCGCTTAATTGTAGTGGCTGACCTTTCCTTTATATCAGGGATAAATTCTTGAAGTCGCTTCACAGCAGAGCCCAAATCCACATCTGAATCATCTGAATCTCTTAACTCTTCAGATAAGTACGTTTCGGAATGTCTAGCTGATTCCAAATTGCTTTCTTCTTCATTTGTAGATTCTAACCTAATGGAAAAGTGGGGTTAATAATTATATCACTTGCCCTAAACTTTTTTAAAACTCTTTCCTTAAAACGACTCTCACTTAGACTACTAGAGTGTTAGGGCAGGCAGGGATCTTGGACCTGACTCAGTTCATGATTTGCAAATTTTCATGAAATTTTATTTCTTGGATAAACCTCAGATACTGTCTCTTTAGAGAGTAAATGTGAGGCCTCAAGTCCTATTTTCACAGTATCATTCTTCTTTATAATTGTAATTTAAGTGACAGTTTAGAAAGCAAATTCATTTTCTATACAAGAGTTCATACACATTTTGTCTCATGACATTGACTGCAATTTCCCATGATACAACAGCTCTCCCCCCACTTCCTCTCCATAGTTCTCTCTTCCCTGTCCTTCCCTCCCATGGACTCCTGCCCTGAGCCATCTCCATGCACCTACACTGCGCTTCTATTCTCCGACTGATCTCTCCAAGCAGTGTATCTACCTGAAGTAAATGTTTAGCTCACATGCCTGTCTTTTGTACATTATTTTAACCCAAAGCCATAACATACCTATTTTTTAAAAAATTAAAGTACTATAATGAAAAACAGACATTTTGCTCCAACCCTTTGCCAACCAGCTTAAGTAACAACTTATAACTTCGGATTTTCCTACGTATTTTTTTCTGGTTTTATTTCCAAATTTCTAAATTTGCTTGTTCACTATTTCAGTTTTTTTAAAAGATACGGACTTCCTAGTAAGGTTAAGCTCTCTTCTGCCCCCACTGATGCGCACATACTTCTCCCAGATCCTCCTTTTTTTTTTTTTTAAGCCACGTGTCAAGTTTTATTAACAATTGGTTAAATCAGTATTTAGGGTTTGCATTACTAAGACCATGTCACTATTCTTCTTATTGGAGCCATGTCAGACACTAGGATCATAGCTGTTTTTGCTGCAGTTAATAATGACTTCATTTTTTTATTTTGCTTAATTTTCAATGTGTTATTATGTGTGCTGTTAAGTCGATTCTGACTTGTCAAGAACCTATATGACATGGTAAAACTGTCTCACAGTTTCCTAGGCTGTAATCTTTAAAAGAACAGAGTGCCAAGTCTTTTCTTCCATGGAGTAGCAAGTGGGTTTGAACCTATCTTTTGGTTAGCAGCTGAGTGCTTGATTGATACACCACCAATTCACCCTAAACTCTCTGCCAGAGGTCTAAATGTACATTCAAACACTGGCTAACCTTTCAGACTGGAAAGAAGCTCTGGTGATGCAGTGGTTAAAGTGCTGCCAACCAAAAGTTTGGGATTCAAACCCACCAGTGGCTCCATGGGAGAAAGATAAGGCAGCCTGCTTCCATAAAGATTTAGAAGCAGCCTCAGAAACTCTATGGGGCAGTTCTACTCTGTCCCATAGGGTTGCTGAGTTGGAATCAACTTGATGGCAGTAGGTCTGGTTTTCAGTTTAACCAGACCGGAAACTGAAAATACTTTGTGCACCTGTCCAAGCAAGAGGAGCTCTGGTGGCTTAGTGCCTAAGGCATTTTACTGCTAACCAGAAGGCTGGAGGTTCAAACCCACCAGCTACTTCTCAGAAGGAAGGCTGGGCAATCTACTTCTGTGTTGCTACCATCTCAGAAACCAAAGGAGGGGTCACTATGAGTCGGATCCAACTTGACGGCTGTGCATTGTGTTGTCATCCAAGCAAGAGGTCCCAGCTTTCAGATAGCCAAACAAAAGTGAAGAACCACAGTCCTAAAATGTTTCTGACCATGACTGGTGTTCTGGAAATGTCCTTGACAAGGCAGCACAGAGGATAAAATAAGTGGGCTCATAATTATCAATACCACCTGAAGTAGTCTTTTCCTATTAACTTTTATGTGAAACTATTTCAAGACAAGACAATCTAACAATGTAAGAAAGAGTATAAATGGGAAGAAAATCCATCTCGAGTCCTAAAATTATGTGATAAAGGGGTTAAAAGATTTTTCTGCCTTTATTCGTCAGGCAGTATTTAAATAATCACATCATGATATTTATATTTCTTTTATTAGGGGAACCCTAACTTAAGGGTTTTTTTGTTGTTGTTGCTCTGTGTCATTGTAGCCATCACGTACCTAACCCTTTCTTCTATCTATAGGAATACAGTCAAGGAGATGTTGAGGTTTTAAAATCTTTTTTTTTTAACCCTACTCATAGAATTTCAGAGCTAGAATAGTTAGTTCCTAACTGCCTTATTTTATAGATGAAGAAATTAAGCTCCTTGCCAAGTTTACACAGTTCCATGTATACATCAATCTGTACATTTGAGAGTCTATCTTTTTTTTTAATTTCTGCAATTTTCACATTCTAAGTGGCCAAGGACAGAATCCATGCAAAAGCGGTACACCATTAGAAGGCATAACATTGCAATGTTACCTCTGCACCTCTTCCACATACTCCTCTTCTAAACAGGACTGGATTTTCTTCTTTTTTATCCTGGGTTTCATACTTTTTTCAATCAAGGTGCCCTCACCTGCCAGTGAATTATCTTGTTCCAGGTCTACGTGTCTGTTCTCAGAGCTCGTATTGAGCACTGAAAAATTAGCATCAGAGCTGACAATACTTTCAATAGGAGACCTTTGCTTCCTTTTCTTAGACTTTGTTTTTGTGCTGTTGGATTCCTTGATCTCTTCAAGGGCCTCACTACCTTCTGCAGCACCAATCTCACTGATCAGTTGCGATCCTTCAGAGTACTTGTTCTCAAGACTCTCAGGCATGGTCAATGCCTCAAACCCTGGGTTACCTGAAAGCCTCTCCCTTTTTTTTTTCTTAGACTTTTTTTTTTCAACAGATACCGCGAGTTCCGGAATTTCCCTTTGTAGATCCACAGAAAGCAGGGATTCCTGCTCCTGTGGTTCTGACTGGTATGAGGCAATGCTTGAATGTGGGCTTTGCTGGGTATCACAGGATGTCCTTGCCCTACGATGTTTTTTATGCTTCTTTCTCCTAACTTTATCACGCAGTTCTTCGGACTCATTTTTATGTGACTTAGGAACTGAAGGCAGTTCACCTGCCTCAGCCTCTTTTGCTGAGTTTTGTTCCTTGCTCATATCAACATAAACAACATTGATGCTCTTTCTAAAATTCTTTGGTGTGCTCTCAATATTTTCTTTATTCACAAGGACACACCCAACACCTGTTTTTTTGTCTACCCCTAAATCACTTTCTCTCTTCTTTTTTTTCTTTTTGAGTGTTGATGTAGCTTTTTCAGTCTTGTCAGAAATTTCTGCTCTGTTTAAAGGAGAAGAAATGAGATGCTGTTTATCTTTTCTCTTCTTTTTGCTTTTAGTTATATGAGCTTGTTCATTTGCCTGGCAGTAATCATTGAAATTTTTACCAGAACACTTCTGGTATCTTTCCTTATCTACTGAATATTTTTTCTTTTTCTTTTTCTTGTCAGAAACTGGAGTGTGGATTTCATATCTACTTGATTTTCCTTCCATTTTCTTCCTATAGGGAGAAAATTGACGACAATTATTTGAGTTTACTGTGGTAAAACATAGATTAAGAAAACATCATTTCCACCACTTTTACATGCACAATTCAATGACATTAATAACATTCACCAGTTGTACAACCATCACTATCATCTGTTTCCAAATTTTTTCATCACTCTTAATAGAAACTTAGTGACCTTTATACAATGCCTCCCTTTTTCCTTTCCACACTTCCCACCCAGTAATCACTAACAAAAGTTGGTCTCTATTATGCATTTGCCAATTCTAGATATTTCATATAAGTGGGATCATGTAATATTTATCCTTTTCTGTCTGATTTATTTCACTCAGTATGTTTCCAAGGTTCCTTCATGCTGTAGCATGTATCAGGACTTCATTTCTTTTTAACAGCTAGAAAATATTCCACTGTATGGATATATCACATTTAGTTTACTCATTCATTTGTTGATGGACAGTGGTTTTATTTTTTGCAAAACATTTTAAACATTAACCTCAGTGGAAAAAAAAAATCACAGAAAAATGAAAATTTATAATGATTGGAGTCATGATTAGATAAAAGGGTATGATAACTCCCATTCTATCTGGGTTCATCACTTTAATAATTAAAAAAAAAAATAGTTAAGAGCGAAAAAGGAGCTCTGGTAGCATAGTCCCTAAGGCATTTGACTGCTAACCAGCAGGTTGGTGGTTCAAACCCACCAACCACTCTGCAGAAGGAAGACTGGGCAATGTACTTCTATAAAGATTTACTGCCTCAGAAACCCAATGGGGGTCACTATGATTTAGAATCAACTCAATGGCAGTGAGTTTGGTTTGGTTTTAAAAGAGAAAAACAGTGTCCTGCATAATCAACCCCTTGTCCATCTCACCAACCTCTCCTTTCCAACTCTCCTCTTGCCACATGGACCTTTTTCTGGTTCATCAAACATGCCACAAGGTTTTCCTTGGCTGAAGGTGTTAGTACATACAGCTCCCTATACTGGCACAATCTCTCTGCCTCCCCCCTTTCCCTCTGTCTTTTAGATCTTGACTCAAATATCACTTTCTCAAGAAAGCTTTCTGGGACCCCTTAGACTTGGTCATTCCCCAAATTACATACTTCCATCACAAATAGTACGTCTCTGTTTTAACTGTTATTAAAAATACACACACATACACACGTTAATTGTTTAATGTCTGTCTCTCCTGTTAAAAAAGTAAACTCTAACAGGGAAGGCAACTTGTCTTATTCTCTGTACTTCCATCACTTCGAAGCTATGTCCCAGGACAACATTAGAGTGTGGGCTCCACGAGGTGTGTGTTTAGGTGTATCATGTACCTATGGACTCAAATCAGAAGATTGTTCCTTTGAGAAACAGGCTGGGCCTGGTTAATGTCCAACACAGAGTCAAAATTCTGCAACATGTTGGAATACGTTTTAATAAGGCTCCACACATTCCTTGTTCTTTCTCTGTTGCTCAAGGTGAATAGAGACCAATTGTTGTGGCTTGGATAGGATAGCCACTTGCAAGTTTTTACGACTGCAGGCACTACCCAGCGAACTAGGAGGTAGAACAGAAGCACTCATTATATTATTAGGCCAATTAGCTGGGCCATCCCATGAAACCATGTTCCTAAACCTCCAAACCAAGAAACCAAATCCCATGAGATCTGACTGTTCATAATCAGCCTCAGCAGCTACTCTTTCTTTTCTTCGTTGTTGTTATAAATATATCTATCAGACTTTTGGCAATTCAACTTTTTACAGCTATACAACTTATTGACAGCAAGAACAAAATAAAATCAGCTGTGTATCTCTACCCTTAGTCAATCCAATATTTCTATCACTCTTATCCCCACTTTCCCTCACTCCTGCCCCTAATAACCACTAATAAACTTTGTTCGCTATACATTTGCCTTTTCTTGATATTTTTAGTATGAGTGAGGCTATGTAATATTTGTCTTTTTGTGATTGACTTATTTCATTGAGCATCATGTCTTTAAGTGCCATACATACTGTAGCATGTATCAAGACTTCATTTCTCCTACTGGCTGAGTAGTACTCCTTCGTATGTAAGTACCACATCTTGTTTATCCATTCATTTGTTGGTGGGCATTTAGGTTGTTTCTTCTTTTTGGCTACTGTAAATAGTGTTGCACTGAACACTGGTGTACAAGTCTCTGACTTTCAGCTTTCAGGAGCTAGGAGTGGGATTTCTGGGTCATAAGGTAGCTCCAGTTTCCGTTTTTTGAGGAACCACCACACTGTTTTCCACAACAGCTATATCATTTTTCATTTGCACCAATAATGGGTAAGTATTCCAATTTCCCTGCATCCTTGCCAACATTTATTATTTTTTTTCCTTTTATCTTAGCCAATTTCACTCACTAATTCACTGCCGTCAGGTCAGATCCAACTCATAGAGACCCCTCCTTGGGTTTCTGAGGTGGTATCTCTACACAAGTAGATGCCCAGTCTGTAGATGCCCAGTCTTCCTTCCGAAGAGTGGCTGGTGGGCTGGAACCACCAGCCTTCTGGTTAGCAGTCAAATGCCTTGGGCACTATGCCAGCAGAGCTCCTTAGCCAATCTAGTGGGAGTGAAATGATATTTCATTGTGGTTTTGATTTGTAATTCTCTGATCGCTGATGATGCTGAGCATCTTTTCATGTTTGGTGGCTATCTGAATATCCTTCGGTGAAACATTTATTCAAGTCCTTTGCCCATTTTATGATTTTTTTTTTTTTTTTTGTCTTTTTGTAAGCTGTTCAAGTTTTTAAATATATTTTGGTTATTAGGTTCTTATTGGACATATGGCTTCTAAAGATATTCTCAATCAATAGCTTGCCTTTTTATTTTTCAATAAATTCTTTTGATGAACAAAAGTTTTTAATTTTTATAAGGTTCCACTTACTTATTTGGTCTTTTGCTTTTTGTGTTTTTGTTATTATAGTAGAAAATCCACTCTTAAAAGATAGGCCTGACAACATTGCCCCTGCCTATTTTTCTAAGAATCTTGTGGTTTTAATTTGTATATTTAAGTCCTTAATCTATTTTGAATTTGTTTTTGTGTACGGTGCGAGACATGGATCTTGTTTCATTTTTCTGAATGGGGAAATCCAATTTTCCCAGAACCATTTATTGAAGGCTCTTTTACCCCATCAAATGGACTCAGCATCCTTGTCAAGAATCAGTCAACCACAGATATGTGGCTTTTCTTCTGGACTCTGAGTTCCAGTCCATCGGTCTACCTATTATTATACCAGTAACCCGGCAGGTTTGATTTCTATGGCTGTGTAGTATGTTTTAAAATCAGGGAGTGAGTTCTACTTTGTTTTCCTCTTTCAACATTGCTTTAGCTATTCAAGGCCTCTTGCCATTCCATATAAAGTTGAGATTTACTGATGTTTCTATTTCTGTAAAAGCTGTTAGAATTTTGCTTGGGATTGTGTTGAATCTATAGATCACTTTGGGTAGTACTGACATCTTAACAATGTTAAGTCTTCCAATCCATGAACACATACCATCTTTCCATTTAGTTAAGTCATCTTTAACCTTAACAGTGTTTTATAGTTTATGTAAGTCCTTCATATCCCTGGTTAGATTTATTCCCAGGTATTTTATTCTCTTAGATGCTATTGTAAATGGAATTGTTTCCCTAATTTCCCTCTCAGATTCCTCATTGCTGGTGTATAGGGACTATTCCAGTTACCTAATGCCACTCTGACAGGAATATACCACAAATGGGATGGTTTGAACAAACAGTAGTTTATTCTCTTACAGTTTGGGAGGCTAGAAGTACAAGTTCAAAGTGCCAGGTTCTAGGGGCTGGGTAAAAGCCCCTCAACCTTGGGCTTCAGCTCTGCCTCCTGCTCCCGGCCACTGGAGCTAGAGGCTTTTCTTCACTCAGACAGCTGCTGGCTACTGAGACTGACAAACCCAAGGTTGACAAGTAAAAAGGCACAGTTCCAACGTTACCAAACCACACGGTAGGCCATTAATTTAAGTCCATTCAAAGTCCCAAGGTCAGCAGAGCATGGCAGGCTCTGAATAATGACATAGCTACATGTAGGGTTCAAGTGTGCCATAAGCTAGAGACCACGCCCAAAGCTGTTTCTTATACAAGGGAAGCAGACCACATACCCAAAGCAACTACTCAGGCACTCCAACAGATTCCTCCATGGAGTTAATTACCAATCTCACCATGGGGAATAACTACATTCAGCTGTCCAGCCAAGTTGACACACAAACATAACCACCACAGGGATCCAACTGATTTTTGTTTGCTGACCTTGTACCCTAAATTCTTCTATTAGCTCTAGAAGTCTTCTTGTGGATTCTTTGAGATTTTCTGTATATAGGATCATATCATCCCTGAATAGAGACGATTTTACTACTTCTTTTCCATTCTGGATTCTTTTATTTTTTTTTTATTGTCTTATTGCTCTGGCTAGGACTTCTAATACACTGAATAGAAGTGGTGAGAGGGGCACTTTTGTCTTGTTCCTGATTTCAAGAGGAAAGCTCTCAATCCTTCTCCATTAGGTACAATGGTCATTGTTGGCTTTTCATATATGCTCTAAATCATACTGAGGATTTTCCCTTCTATTCCAATCTTCTTTAGGTTTTTCATCAAGAAATGCTGTTGGATTTTACCAAATGCTTTCTCTGCATCCACAGAGATGATCATGTGATTCTTTTCCTTTGTTTTTTTGATAAGCTGTATTATATTGATTGATGTTCTGATGTTGAATCACCCCTGCATTTCTGGAATAAATCCCATTCAGTTGTGATGTATGACTTTTTGAATATGCTGTTGGATTAGGCTCATTAGGATTTTGTTGATGATTTTTGCATTAATATTCCTAAGAGAATATTAGTAGCTACAATATTAGCTTATAGTTTTCTTTTCTTGTGGTGTCTTTGTCTGGTTTGTGTATTATAGTTACATTTGGTTCACAGAATGAACTAGGGAATATTCCTTCCTTCTCTGTCTTTTGGAAGACT